GCTTGCAGGAAAGGACAGGGTGCTGTTAAGTCATAAACCCTTTTTAGCCTTAATTTTCAACCACTGTTTTTTTTTTGTTTTTTTTTTTTTTTTAATTGGCATCTATGAAACAGTTTCAGCAACTCTGAGTAACCCTATCTGAAGTTACTGTTTGAAGAAAAACCCCGACATTGCACCCATCACACAAAACCCACGGGGGAGCCTAAGAGCAGCCTCCTCCTCCCATTCCCTGAAGTCACTTGATAAAGTTCTCCATGTCCTCTGTCTGCAGTGTTCATTGTTTGAATTTCAAAAGCAATACTCTTAACTAAAAATAGTGAAAACCTACGGAAATGACAAGATTAAGAAAAATGGCTCCTGTCGCCTGCTTCTCTACATATTCTGTATCACCTAGAAATAAATGTTATGACTATTTCTGATAATGTTCAACTTAAGGTTTAAGTTGTAAAACTTTCCTTAGAACTTGTTTCTGTTCATGCTAATATAAAGTGGGGTTCTTATAAAGTAGTCAAGTTGAAATATGACACTTTGAACTCACATGAGATAGGATCTTCATTTTAACTATTTCTTCTACAGGTATCCTAAGATTTCAGTTGATGCGAGTACCTCTATTCAAGAAACTTAAATTATCAATATTTCTTGGATTTTTGAGAGTAAAAAAAAGAAAGTATTTTCTGAAACTGTGTTTCAGACTGTTCACTGATATATTAAAAACTGTTAGCAGCTAATTAAAGATCACCAAGGGTTAAATACTGGTTCTCTGGCCCCTACTGAGCACAGCCTGCCAAAACATCCTCTCAGCTTTTAAATATTGCTCAGATGGTCTGTGTTTTTACTTCCAGGGGAAAATCGAGTTTGGTCCCACCACCAGCAGGCCGCGAGTGTGCTGCCGTGCGGTCACCTGGATTCCTGCACAATGAAGATTCTGTATTCTGCGCTTTTCCTGCTCCTGGTTGTGCCTCAGGCAGAGTCGGCACCCCGGGCTCAGCAGGGCTCCCGCGTTACCACTGATTATGGAACAGACGATTTTGAAGAAACCATATTTAGCCAAGATTATGAGGATGGAAAAAATATTAAGGTACTTTATTTTCTACTCTAAACTTAACCTTGTTAAATAGTGCCCATTTTAATAAATGTTTCTGTTTTACCTGCATGAATGTGACAGGAAAGGAGAAAGGAAAAACACTTTGAATGATTCAAACTAACTCATAATAATTGTTCTAAGATTGTATTTTGAAATATGCATGTCTCACAAATGAATAAACAGTGTTTACAGTAACCAAAAAATAAGATTTAAGGAAAACGAGACTTTAAGATGACCCTAGGGCCAGTTGTGATTTGTATGTTGGATAATGTGACATAATGCCCTATATTTGCATATTATAGTGACTCAGAAGAAAACTAGGAGAGGTGTCTAGCAGGAGAAATCAAGATGACTTATCAGGTTAAGGTTTATTACTTAAGAAAAAATGTGTTTAAGGAAATAAGAGTGCTATTATTTTGGAGACTGTAGCATTTCACAATACATTACATACCCCAACTACACATGCTACAGGAAAATGAAAATCAACCGAACACGGGCCTTTAAAAAAATCAGTTTTGACAGTTCAGATCCTCCATCAATTTGTATCACGGAACTAAAACTGTCACTGAGTTAACACTCACAGGGATGACTTTTATACCTCATCATTCACTCCTTCGCTTTATGGGAAAAGTAAGGACTTGTGGTTTTCTTGGCACACAAGTGAACACTGGGCAAAGAAAAATTAATAAAATACAGAAGTACCTGCTTCCCACTGGGTCTGTCTCCTACCCCCCCACCCCCCGACACACACACAGGGCAATAAGAAATACAGCCAAATATACAACCATATTGTTTCCAAAGTTATTCTCCACTATAAGTTAGATGGTAAACATTTTAAGACAGTCCAATTACAATTGCTTCTTTCTGCTTTCTTTTATTGTAGAACATAATGGGCAAATGTTGAACCAGTTCCTTTTGGAGTTAACTAATATGCTAGTAGCATTTTCACTCACAATTAAAACAAAAAGATAGGTATCACTCGTCATAGCTTCAAGTTTAAAACATAAAAAGAAACCCATAACATAAGCTGTTGGCTCATTCAGATGATTTGAACCTATCCATCAGTTATAAGAACATGTTCAAAATTCCCTGGTGCCTAATAAATTCAGAGATGATTTTCTCTCTGCTTCTCTTCGCAGGGCTTTAGAAGTTCCTCTATCTTTATGTAAATGCATAGAGTAAGATATTTATGGAATGAAGTAAAACTCAACAGGATTTATACAAATGTCAAGTGGAGGGAGGATGTTCAGCTCAGAGGGGAGACTAGGGCAAAGGGTGGCTTCAGAAGGGATACCAGGTGGCCATGCTTACCAGCACAGGAAGAGCAGGACCCCATGGAGACCCTGCAATCTTAATGGCAGGACATGTCCTCTCTGAGAATAAGGAAAGAGAGACCCTAACATTCCTGGAGTTAGCAGCCTAGCCTGGTGGTCTGGGTGGGACGGGCTGGAGTAAAGGGCTTCCAAGGGCCAGGGATTACTGGAGCCACATGTAGATATTGAAAAGCTTACCCCAGGGGGCCAGCAGGTGGTGTGGTGGTTAAGGTGCTGGACTCCCACATGGCCGACTGTGGTTTGAGTTCTGGACCTGGCGGCTGCTGTCCCACTTTCTCTGGTGAAAGCACAAAAGTACTTTTTTTTTTTTTTTTTTTAACAAAAGTAAAAAAGACCTGGTTCTTTTAGTAAGGAATTCATAGTCTGGAATGAAAAAAAGCTAAACAAATATTGACATTATGATTTCATGAGTGACAGAATGGAATAATGAATGAAACCTAATGGAACACAAAATGGATGCTGCTAACGGTGACTGTCAGAGGACAACTGCGGTCTGTGTCCCCCTGGTTTACAGTCAGACTTCATCACACCTGATAACGGGCTGTATTTTCCCAATAGGAAAAAAGAAAGATGGTAATACCTGGCGAGAAAAGTCTTCGATTACAAAAAGATGAGAGTGTAACACCGCCCCTGAAGAAAGAAAATGATGGTAAGTGTGAGTACTCTATCATCTAATTTTTTTCTCCAAGAAAGGAGCTTTTAAAAACAGCTGTAAAGGGGAACCAGCAGTTAGCGTAATGGCTATGTCGCTGGACTCCCATGTAGTCGACCGCGGTTCGTGTTCCGGACCCGGTGGCTTAAAACTCATGCCGGGCGCGTGTGCATGCGTGTCCAAGATCCCGAGAGGAGAATGGAGGAGAAGGGATTGCGGCGTGACCATCCCCCCTGGGGGGTGATTTCTCGCTATCTGTCTCTATGTCTCTCTCTGTCTGTCTGGCGAGCGCACACGCCCTACTGTGAAAATCTCTCCAAAACAAAACAAAACAAAACAAAACAAAAAAAACAGCTGTAAAGGAACTTCATTCCTTGTAGTAACAAAAAATTGCCTCAAGATATAGTAGATACAGGAATCAGCAGTTAGTGTAATGGCTATGTTGCTGGACTCCCACGTAGTTGACTGTGGTTCACGTCCCGGACCCAGTGGCTTAAAACTCACGCCAGTTGCATGTGCATGCATCCCCAAGATCCCGAGAGGAGAATGGAGGAGAAGGGACTGTGGCGTGACCATCCCCCCTGGGGGGTGATTTCTCGCTTTCTGTCTCTATGTTTCTCTCTGTCTGTCTGGAGAGTGCACACACCCTATAGTGAAAACCTCTCCGAAAAAAAAAAAGATATAGTAGATATGAATGGTGAAGTTTTATCTCCAACAATGACACCAGGAGGTGTACTGGGAGTGTGCATGCTTTGCTTTTCTACACGGCAAATGAATGGTACAGGTGCGATGGCAACACTCAGGAAAACCAAGGCTCGGGCCAAGCCACGCCTGCACCAGGTATTTGTTTCTGTGCAATCAATTCAAGAAATCCTGAGATAGTGATTATTTGTCAAGTGCAGCACACAGGCTCAACATAAGAAAAATAAGATATAATTCTTGCTTTCAAGGAACTCACAGAAGAAAAATGGCCACATGTATAAGTAACAATAATGTACATTTCAATGGAAAACTCATAAAGTAACAAACTATAAGTCCTACTTAGTTCCTATGTATTTCGTTTATTCTTGCTTTTTCATAGAACATTTTACATGGAAACAGGAAAATAAAATCAGCCACTGGTCTATTGCTATAATAAAATGAAAATGAACCAAAAGAAAAAACATGTTTAAAAACATTTAAAGTTTACTTATTTTATTTCTTGAATGAGAGATGCACCCTTGACAGGGTCTCATCACACCAACATCCTCCTTCCATCTGCCAGCAGTCAGGACAGGGGTACACATGCCCTGAATGTCTCAGGTTGACCCAGGAGTGAACCACGGTGTTCCATGTGGCTCCACCACTGCAGAGTGGTGCCCTATGGCTCCACCACAGCTGAGTTGTCTTTTTGAGAAGTAGTGCAATAAAAACCTTGAACAAATGTAAAGACATATCTTGTTCTTAGGGTGACTCAGGATCATAGGTGTCAGCTCTGCTAACTTTATAAATTTTAGACAAAAATTACCAATAATTTTTCTCATAAAGCTAGAAAAACTGACTCTAAAGTTCACATAGAAAAACATGCACAGAAGGACCAGCAGATGGCATAATGGTTACTTCACTGGACTCCCACATAGACAACCACAGTTTGAGTCCTGGACCTGGTGGCTTAAAACTCTTGCCAGGCATGTGCTTGTGCGTGCCCAAAATCCCAAGAGAAGAATGGAGGAGAAGGGTCTGCAGTGTGGCCATCCCCTGGGGAGGAGGGAGGATTTCTTTCTTTCTTTCTTTTTTTTTTTTTTTAAGAATTATTATATTTAAATTTATCTATTTATTTATTCATTTTTAATCTGACCAGAGAGGTCTCTCTCTGGTGAGAGAGAGAGAAAGAGAGAGAGAAGAGAAAGTGAGCTAGCAAGCCACCAGGTCCAGGACTCGAACCGCCATGTGGGAGTCTAGTGACCCCAACCACCACACTACCTGCCAGCCCCTGAGGGGATTTCTCGGTTTTTGTCTCTCTGGCGAGGCATGTACCCTACAGCAAAAAAATCTCTCTTAAAAAAAAAAAAAGAAAAAAGAAAGAGAGACCCATAGTTAGCATAATGGCTATGTCGCTGGACTCCCATGTAGTTGACCGTGGTTCGCGTCCCGGACCTGGTGGCTTAAGACTCACGCCGGGCATGTCTGCGTGCGTGCCCAAGATCCCAAAGAGGAGAATGGAGGAGAAGGGATTGTGGCGTGGCCATCCCCCCTGGGGGGTGATTTCTTGCTTTCTGTCTGTCTTTCTGGCGAGCGCACGTGCCCTATAGCAAAAAAAATCTCCACACCCCCCCAAAAAAAAAGAGAAGAAAGAAAGAAAAGAAAGACATGCATAGAGACAGGGAAACAGCAACCAAGGAACATGGTGAGACAAGACTTACTACACCTTAAAGCAGTCATATAGCTTCTCTACTTCAAAAGTGTGACACTGGTTCATGAATGGGCAAAAAGACTAGTGTAACAGAATGGAAAGGTCAGAAACAGAAATACACAGAAACACTTAACATAGAAAAGAAAATTCTGGGGACCAGCACTTAGTGTAATGGCTATGTCTCTGGACTCCCACGTAGTCGACCGCGGTTCGTGTTCTGGACCCGGTGGCTTAAAACTCATGCCGGGCACGTGTGCATACGTGCCCAAGATCTCAAGAGGAGAACGGAGGAGAAGGGATTGCAGCATGGCCATCCCCCCGGGGGGTGATTCCTCGCTTTCTGTCTCTCTCTGTTTGTCTGGCGAGCGCACAAGCCCTATAGCAAAAAAAAAAAAAAAAAAAAAAACAACTCTAAAAAAAAAGGAAAAAAAAGAAAATTCTAACTCAAATCATTAAGCAAAAATGGTATTTTTAAAAAATGGTGCGAGGGGGACCAGCAGACGGCATAATGGCTATGCTGCTGGACTCCCATGTAGTTGACTGCAGTTTGAGTCCCGGTCCTGGTGGCTTAAACCACACCGTGCCCATGTGTGTGCGTGTGTGCCCAAGATCCCAAGAGGAGAATAGAGGAGAAGGGATTGTGGTGTGGCTATTCCCCTGGGGGGCGAGTTCTCACTGTCTCTCTGTCTCTGTCTTTCTGGCAAGCGTATGTGCCCTATAGCAAAAACTTGTCCCCCTCCAAAAAAAAAAAAAATTGTGCTAGGAGAACTAAGCCATTTGAAAAGGGACATAATTAGAGCTATACCTTAGGCAGAAAAGGAAATTCCAAATAGATGAGGCATTTAAGTGTACAGAATGAAACTGTAAGTATGAGAAGATAGCCTGGCTGTAGGGTATCTCAAAATAGAGACTGTGGTGAAGATGAATAAACATGCCTCTGTGAAAATGAACTTGTGTACAGCTTAGCATGTCACACACAGATCACAAATGAAAACGGGGGGTAAGCAGTAATATGACAAAAAACTAATATAGGTTGAGCATTCCTAACCCAAAATCCAAACTACAAAGTGCTCCAAATTCCAAAAGTTTCTGAGCACCAATATGATGCCACTCATAGAAAATCCACATGACCTCTTGTAATGAGCTGCAGTCAGAATTCTGCAACAGAAAAACACCGTGGGGCCAGCAGGTGGCATGGTGGGTAAGGATTGGACACTCCCACACAGCCGGCCACAGTTGGCGTCCCAAACCTGGTGGCTTGGTTTCTCACGTTTCCCTCTGTGTCTTTCTATCTCTCAAATTTAAAAAAAAATGAATAAAAAAAATGAAATAAATAACTCTTTTTAAAAAAACAAAAAACACCATGTAAAGTACCTTCAGATTATGTGTCCAAAGTGTATATGAAGGTACAACAGGTGGCGTAGAGATTAAAGTGCTGGATCCCACATGGCTGACTGAGTGGTCTGAGTCCCAGATGTGCTGGCTTAAGAGGTTTCAGGTGGGCTCATGTCCAAGAAGAAAGTGGAAAAGGGACTCCGGTGTTGCCATCCCCCCAAGGGATGATTTCTTACTTTCTCTCTGGTGAGTGCACATGCCCTATAGCAAATCAGAACTGAAAAAGGAAACAAAAGTATATGTGAAATATAAATGAATCTCATGTTTAAATGTGGATCTTTACAGAGATTATATATATACCAATATTTCAAATCAAAACCCATCTGGCTCTATCACATCAGATTAGAGAGGCCCTATCCATAGTCTACTGTATAAGTAACTCCAGTAGAGTGGAGGCAGCTGAACACCACATGGCTTACTGCACGGTTTGAGTCCTGGACCCAGGGGCTTGGAAAACACACAGGGCATGGGTGTGTGCATGCCCAAAAGCAGTTACAACTCAGCTTGTCAACAAAGACCCAGGGGTGTAGGTGTGATTCTGTGCGCACAGGTGTGTATGATGGGGTATGTGTTTATGTGTCTATGTGTACATGTGGGGTCCACATACAGTGTTTAACGAATACAAGCTGTAGGTCTGCAGAAATTCTGTAGAAAGAAAAAGCACATGCACGCATGTGTTTCCTGGTTCCCTCTGATCAGGTTTCTGGCAGAGACCCCAGCAGCAGTGCAATGCACACACATACCTAGACCCTGGGTCCTAAGACCATTCTCCACTAAGAGAAACCAGTGTTTCTTGAAGAGAGAGCTGATTTCAGATTGGGGCAGGAAAAATGCCAAGATTGGTCTGGGACATCTAATCACACCAGAAAATAAGGACATTCTTAACAAATAATGGGGACATTTAAATAAAAAAAAATTTATTGAAATATATGAAATATCCACATAAAAATATGCTAATGATGTCAAAGACCTGTACACTAAAATCTAGGCAACATTGCTGACAGAAATTAAAGACCCCAAAACATGAAGAAATATATCTCATGTTCAAGGTCTGGAAGATGCAACACCATTAAGGTGTCAATTTTCGGGATCAGCAGTTGGAGTGATGGCTATGTCGCTGGATTCCCATGTAGTCGACCACAGTTTGAGTCCTGGACCCAATGGCTTAAACTCACACGGATACATGTGTGTGTGCGTGCCCAAGATCCCAAGAGGAGAATGGAGGAGAAGGGATTGCAGCATGGCCATGCCCCCCTGGGGCGGGTGATTTCTTGCTTTCTCTCTCTCTGACGAGTGCACGCGCGCTACAGCAAAAACCTCTCAAAAAAAAAAAAAAACAAACAAAACAAAAAACAAAAAACAAAACGATGTCAGTTTTCCCCAAGTTTACTTATAGACTCAACACAAGCCCACCAAAAATCCTAACAGTCTTTTCCCTTTTTTTTTTAATGAACAAGCAGATTCTAAAACTTACAGGGGAATATAAAGAACTTGGGACAGTCAAAACAATGCTAAAGAAGAACAAAGTTGAAGAATTTATACTACTAACAGCAACTTATAAAGGTGTAGGAATTAAGACATTGTGGTATTGGCATTAACAATGAAAAACAGACCAATGGAACAGAAGGGAGTCTAGAAGTTGGTTACACCATGTGGCCAGGTAGTCTTTGAAACGTGACAACACAGCACAACAAAGGAATAATAATCTTTTCTAAAAATGGTGCTGAGTGAACCACATAATCATGAAGGGGAAAGAACTTTGAACCTTCTGGTACCATGCTGAATAAAATGAACTAGAAATGGACCCCATTCCAAAACTTACAGAGCTTAAATTGCATGACCTCTAGAAAAAAACAAAGGATAAAATCTTGGCCATTGGCAAACATTATTTTCTAAGAATTATTTTATTTAATTTTATTCATTTTCATTATTTTATTTTAGTGAAGTTGACCGGAGAGCCAGAGAGAGAGAGAAGGAAAGTGAGAAAGCAAGCAGCCACATCTTGGACTCAAACTGTGGTCAGCCATGTGGGAGTCCAGCTGCCCTAACTACTATGCCACCCACCAACCCAGGCAAGCATTCTTAAAATACAACAGAAAAAGCATGAATGACAAAGGATCCAAAGGTTTGCTCATTAAATCTGAAATGTTTGTTCTTCAAAAGACAAAAACATTTGCAAAACAAAAATCTGACAAACTACTTTCATCTAGAATATATACTTCTAGAGTTAAATAATAATAATACAAAAGCATAATTAAAAGTAGGCAATGGATATGAACTGATACCTCACCAAAAAAAAAAAAATGTGGATGGCAAATAAGCAAATAAAACATGCTCAACATCATTTCATCATTAGGAAAACACAAATTAAAACACAAACACAAATTAAAACACAGTAAGATACCACAATACACATTACTTGAATGGCTAAGATTAAAAAGCCTGGGACCAGCAGTTAGTGTAATGGCTATGTCGCTGGACTCCCACGTAGTTGACCGTGGTTTGAGTCCCAGACCCGGTGGCTTAAATTCACGCTGGGCGCGTGTGTGTGTGTGTGCCCAAGATCCTGAGAGAAGAATGGAGAAGAGACTGTGGCGTGGCCATTCCCCTGGGGGGTGATTTTTCGCTTTCTGTCTCTGTCTCTCTCTGTCTTTCTGGTGAGCACATGCGCCCTATAGCAAAAACCTCTCAAAAAAAAAAAAAAAAAAAAAGAGTCTGACCATACCCATACAAAGCAACTGTAACTCATCTCTGCTGGTGGAAATGCAACATGGCACCATCCTTTAGAAAACAGTTTTCTGAACAGTTTTACCTTTCTTCAAACTATCTAGTGATAAATGATCCAGGTAAGAATCACCAGTGGATGCAAAATCTAGTGGACAAAAGTTTAATGACGTATCAGATATTAGAGTCTGTAAGTACTTCTTTCTAGAAGGTACCTATTGTTTACAAAATGAAAACTAGTAACTTCACAGATCAAGAACCAGCAGACACTCCTTGAACCAAAGGATCAGTGTCTCAGGAATAGAGCAGACACATTGTGTGTCTTGACACATGGCATTAGGGCAGGCTTCCATGATATCCTGCCAAAAAAGAGGAACTGAGACAATGGCTGGAGGGAGCAAGGGAAGTCCTGCACTTCTCAAAGTGAGAGCCATGAGGGACCAAGATTGAGGGACTGTCCAGGTTAAAGGAAAGAGGCATTAGTAACCAGGAGTGACCTGGGTGCGATGGGGCATGAGCAGCAGCTGTGTCGATGGCGTTGATTTTCAAATTAACAGTCTGCTTATTTACAGTGGTTTCTAAAGCCATTAGTTATTGGCAACAATCTGAAATATATTTCTGACATACCAAATTTGATAAATCAAGCTCAGATTTACCTTGACCCCTGCTGTATACATTTTTATTTAGTATTCAGATGAGGAAATGTAACTGTTGATCAATTCAGCAATGAAATGAGCACTGCTAAAACAGAATAAAAAGTGGAAGACAGCCAGCCAGGTGAAGTGGTATTTAAGGAGGCTGGATCTCACCTGGCTGACTGGATAGTTCAAGTCCCAGACCTGAAGGCTTGAAAAACATGCCGGGCACATGTGCATGTGTGCCCCAAATCCTGAGAGAATAGAGGGGCAGGGAATGTGGCATGGCCATGCCCTCTGAGGGATGCTTTTTCACTTTCTTCCTCTTTCTCTGGCAAGCACACACACCCATGTAGCAGGGGGAAAAATGTGTATGTGTGAATTACGGGTTCTAAAACAAAATTCTGTGTAGGTTCGAACACAGAGTAGGTCACTAGCTACTATGACTAAGCATTTTTTTCTGTTTTCATCTATGAGTCTGTTTAAGTACCTTCTCAAATTAGTAACACACTCATGGTCAGTAATTTTTGGTACTAGAGGCCAATGTTTTCAAACTACTATTTATATTCTATGCTTCTGTTTCTGCATCTAGAAATGCCCACATGCCTGCTGTGTGTGTGTCTAAGTGGCTCTGTGTACTGTGAGGAAGTGGACATCGAAGCCGTGCCCCCTCTGCCCAAGGAATCAGCCTATCTTTATGCACGATTCAACAAAATTAAAAAGCTGACTGCCAAAGATTTTGCAGACATTCGTAAGTTAAGTTTAAAAAACATACGGGTGTTAACTCATATGAGTATTTAACTTACATAAACACAAGTTTCTACTATCTGGAGAACGCCCCACACCTGGGGTGTCACTGTGAAGTATGTAAGTACGGTCCCCGCTTCAATCAAAAACTAGTGGTTTGCTGGTGAGTCTCCTTTCTATCCAGACAGCCTGTTTCTTCCCTGGTGACTTTGGTGTCTATGCTGACAGCCCATCTAACGGGGGCAATTGCAACCTCTCAATTTCAGTACTTCAAGATCTACCTGGCCCCACACCATGAGTAGCACCAACATAACTGGAAGTTTCTCAAATCACGACATTCTGCTTTCTGCCTTTACTACAAAAACAGAGAAACTGCTTTTCTTTACCTTAACTCATGGCTTTTAAACCTGGCTGCATAAAACCTAGGGAAGCATATTTAAAACACTGATCCTGGGCCCTGCTTCTCAGAGGTCATAATCCAGGAGTGGAGTAAGGTCCGAGTACCATAATTTTAACAAGCACCTTCTTGGATGCCTCTCATGTGAGACAGTGCAGAGGGCAGGGGCATCTAACCCGTCCCAGGTGGTAGGCACCCTTGGATTCTGGCTAACTTCGGGCTTTGTGAAAAGACCGTCAGAAGTCCTTATTTCTGCGGCACCCATGCCCAGCCCTAGGTCAGAACTTCTTGTAGTTTTCTACATGTCTATGTTGTCAAGTGCTTCTGAAAAATATGACACCAAGAGATACACACGGGTCGCACACACATGTGTCCATGAACTGTATCTGGGTTCGCACTGCACCGAGAGCTTCCCACTGGGTACTGTGGTGTGAGTCCTCTTTATCTGTGGGTTGCAATATCTGCAAATTCACCTACTTACTAAATTTATTTGTAACCCAAAAATGAACACAGGTTGTGTGCTTACGTCATTTGCAGATGTGTGCAGAGTGGCAAGAGGTTCGATTCCTGGACATGTGCATACCAGAGGAGGCAAATGCAGCAATGTGGTCTCCTGCAAGTGTCAGTTTTGTCCTTCCTGTTAATGGCTTGGCTGTGTAAGGCCTAGGCGCTCCCCAGTGTTCTCAAGTGCATCACTCCATGATGGGCCTCACAGAGAAAGTGCAGGCTAGGCTGGCACCATTTCGATGTGAGTGACGGCACATCAGTGAGTCAGCAACACACGCCGTACAAGGTGTCTTCAAACAAAACTACACGCACAAGGCTGCACACTGAGGGGCTGCTGAAACATGAGCAGAGGCTCACAGGAACCTGACCTTGCACCTCCCCTAGGAGGGCGGGCTTAGCGTTTAAGGCCTTTAGAGAACAGGACTGACAGCCGAGAAGAAGCAGCACCTATACTAGCAGGGAACATTTCTGTCTTTATTGTTTTGAAGTAATAAAGCAGGGACTAAGAGAACATACATACTGTTACACTGTGACATGCTGGCAGAAAGCCCCAAAATATCCCATTCAATCAAATGCAATGCTTTCTTTACCAACAGGCAACAAGAACTCCTTTGAAGGTGCTACAGCATCCTGGTGGATTCAGAAAGGGAGGGAAACTCTATTACCTGACATTAAGGTCCCTTCTCAATCTGAAATCAAAAGATTCCAGTTAGTGTGAAGGAGCACCAGCAGGAGGTGTGGCAGTTAAGGTGCTGGACTGCCACATGGCCCATCACAGTTCAAGTCCTGGGCCTGGCAGCTTGAAAACCACACTGGCATATGTGCATACATGCCTTAAAATCCTGAGAGGAGAAGGGAAGAGGAGACTGTGGTGTAGCCATCCCACCCCACCCCGGGGTGGGGGTGTGATTCCTCACTTTCCCTTTCCCTCTGTTTCTTTGGCAAGTACACATGCCCTGTAGCAAAACCTAAAAAAAATGGAAAGGGTACCAGGGACAGGCAGAGAAATGCTCAGTGTTCATCCCACAAACCCTCACTGAGGTAGGGGCTGCAGACATGCTCCTAAGAGCCGAAAAATAAAAGGTGTCTGTGTGGGCATTAAACAAACACTTCTCTTCAGTTCACACCATGGACATTTAACTTTGTAATTTTTGTATTTTTTTTCCCTTAAGCTAATTTAAGAAGACTCGATTTTACGGGAAATTTGATAGAAGATATAGAAGATGGTACATTTTCAAAACTTTCTTTGTTAGAAGAACTTTCACTGGCTGAAAATCAACTACTGAAACTCCCAGTTCTTCCTCCCAAGCTTACTTTATTTAATGCAAAACACAACAAAATCAAGAGTAGAGGAATCAAAGCAAATGCATTTAAAGTAAGTATTTCATAATATGACTGAACACAAAATCAGTAATAATACGATAAAAGCAAGACAAACTTTAGTCTAGAAGTCAGTTTTTTATTACATTTTAAAGCTATTTTCACTTGATAAACAGCCATCCTGTGAAGTTCTTTCAGCTTCGGTTATACTGGCTTGACCTTTAACCTGTCTCACGGGACTCTGTCGCAGCCCATTTTCTCACTTGCTTACCAGCAAACACTTATTAAGAGAGACCTGGCTGACCCCTATCACAGCTTATGGCCTTCTAAAACTCAAAGCAGATATTTTTCTGTATTTCTTTTCCCTTACAATATTAACAATTAACAAATGCCAGAAAAACTGAAGTTCTGAAAGTAATTACTGAATTTAACTTGATTTACACTAAAAATAATCAATTCTTAATTTAAAAACACTAGACTGAAAAGCTGTATAGAGAGTTTCCTTTGAATTCCATGATGATACCTGTTGGAAATTTCTATACACAGAAGGAAATTCATTTTTTTTTTTGAGAGGTTTTTCGCTACAGGGCGCGCGCACTCGCCAGACAGAGCCAGAGACAGACAGAAAGACAGAAAGTGAGAAATCACCCCCCAGGGGGGATGGTCATGCCGCAATCCCTTCTCCTCCATTCTCCTCTCAGGATCTTGGGCACGCACGCACACGCACCCGGTGTGAGTTTTAAGCCACTGGGTCCAGGACGCGAACTGCGGTTGACTACGTGGGAGTCCAGTGACATAGCCATTATGCTAACTGCTGGTTCCCAGGAAATTCATTTTTGAATTTAGTAACTCAAGAAAATATTACATAAGGGAAGGGGAAGGTGACCTACTTGGTTCAGGTAGCCGCTGTGTGGGAGGACAGTCTATGGAAGTAATCGCCTCCGCCAGGACTCTGACAGCAAGGGCACCCAAATAAAAGGATGGGCTGCTACTGCGAGCCAGAATCGAACCTCACTCTAAAGGTGGGCTGTGGGCTAGCGGGCGGCATGGAGGTTAAGGTGCTGCATCCCACATGGCTGACTACACGGTCCAACTTGGACTGGATGGTTTGAAAATCACACTAGGTACATATGCATGCATGCCCAAAATCCTGAAAGGAGAGAGGACTGACATGGCTATCCTCCCTAGGGTGCTTTTTCACTTTCTCTTTTTCTCTCTCTTTGGTGAGCACATGTGCCCTACAGCAAAAAAAAAAAAAAAAGAAAAAAAGAAATTAAGAATTTAAATTGTCCCTATATGTGGATGATATGAGTATATAAATAGAAAATTTAGAAAATATATTTAAAAATACATATTTAATGACCACAGTAAGCTAGATAGCCTCAGCTAGCTGATACTTTATATTATATTCATTCTACTCACAGTTTCTTGCCTAAAGTCAAACACGTGTTCACAGATATGTATGCTTCAGCTGAACTTGCTCTTGAGAGTAGTTATATTGATAAGATATTTTATGAATCAATAAAATGTGGGAAAAAATAAAAAGGAATGGAAACAACTGCAGATACCAGAGATAGTGTGGAAGGGGGGTGGGAAATGGCAGAGAGTGAGAAATAGGGGAAAATACATAAACACACACACATGCACACATATATATGAAACAGGAAATAAAAAATTATTTGTTGATAATGTGTATGATTAAGCCACTATACAGTGTATTTGGATGAGAAATTGCATCTTGTATACTGTGATGATGTTAAGTGAATGAATGTAAAAAAAAATTAATTAATTAAAAAAAAAGAAAAAGAAAAGTGC